AAAACCTCAGAAGTCCAAAGAACTTCTTCAGCACTGCTAAAGAGAGAGGGTCCTTTCTGGAGGCCCCAAGACACAGGGGCTATTGGGCTGCAGTCCTAGAAATGTCCTTCTTTCTCCCTACAGGTCTCACAAAGCCTTACAGCCAACCTCAGTGATGTCACCTGAGCTAGGGGTTTGGTTTTCCGATCATTTTCGTGAGTTTCAAAGTGTGATATAGGGATTTTCTTGTAATGATTTTTCTTTGATGGACTTTCACAACCTCTCCTGGCGGCTCTGACATCCCTGCCTGGTCCCTGGAGGGAAGGGACTGTCCTGAACTTCTTTTCAGTATCCTTTTGCTGGGAGTGATCAGCAGACTTGGAGTCAGGGGCGCCCCCCACTCTCTTCTCCTCTCTACTGCACAGTGCTTTAAGCATCTTGGGGACAGGGGGTCTCCATAGTCCGCAGATCTGATGAATATCATTGTCCCATGTCCTGAAATAAAAGCACATGTGCACACGTCAGCTGAAATAAGGAGTCCAGGTAAAGGTTAATTAAGGAATTCGCTTGACAATCAAGGTGAGGAGCTCAAGTCCCAGGAAACAGCCCAGCTGAGTGTTCTGAGGAACTGCTCTGACGTCTACAGATCTGAGTGCAGTGTATATACTTTCTAGCAAAGCAGTGTATGTGTAGGAAAGGGCTTATGCATCTGATAGTCATATACTTCGAGGATAACACAAACAAGAACTTTCTGGTTATGCATCAAACAAAGTTTGGAGTGTTGGTGTTGTCTATGTGTGGAGGGAGGCGACGACCATGGTCTTACTTTTTCCCTCAATCTTTAAGAAATGCCGCTGGGAAATGTGAGAGCGAGGTACCCTTTACCTTTTCTGTTGTGGATCTGTCCAGCTGGCATCTTCAGTCGTGAGATGTGGGGTTGCATATTCATTCTAACACAGGCTTAAGATGGCCTGCATGGCTGCTTCACAGTGCAGCCTGGATTTTGTACTGACTTTAAGCCTCCACAGCTTGCTTGTTAGATTCACCTATGAGACCAGGGACAGAGGTCACAAAAATTTGTTTACCCTCATAACACCAATGGTTGCATGCAGTGCCAAAGTGGGGAGGTTTCTGAGATGCCACATTAGGGCCTTTGACTCTCCATTTACACAGAGAGAGGGGTGAGTGGAAGTGGGGGCTGATGTCCAGACTGGGAACCCCAGGATACCTGCAGGATTTCTCCATTGGTGGTTTGTTTTTTCCTGAAGTTTGAGGAATTTGTAAGCAGGTAGAGAAAGCCTTTGAAGAGGGTGAGAGATATTCAGGAGCCAGGTCTAGGGAGTGAAAAAGGATGAGGAAGCAGAAATAAGCAGAGTGAGGTTGACAGGAGGTGAAGAGTCCAGGAGGAGAGGGACCCGGCCTGATGGCAGCAGGTCTGGAGCCTGGAGCCTCAGTGCAGTGAGGCCTGAAGCCCATGAGGCATGGGGAGAGTACAGGACCGTCTGTTGCCCAGAAAAATCACAGGGGAATTTTGTTTTGTTTTGTTTTTGTATGGTATTAAGGTGAATTTGGGAAATAAACCAGGATGGGAAATCAGGGCCTCCTTTTCAAGGATAACTTTTGCAGTCTTCTGCCAGTTTGACCTCATCAGCAGTCTCCTGAAGAAGGGAGCCAGGCACCATCACAAGGCCCATGAAGCCTGCGCTTTCTGCTGGGGTCTCTGTACTTCCCCCTACAGGGTGGGCTGAGGGAGGCAGGAGTGGGAGGTGTGGGCAGGAAGGAGGAGTGTGGAGGCTTGGGGCACTTCCTTCTGCACTCCCTTTCTCTGAGGTTATTGCTTGAGTTCCTGCCTGCCTGCTGCCACCCCACCCCTCACCTGAGCAAAGCACAGCTGTCTAGGAAGCCCCTCATGGCCTCAGATCCACCTGTACATCTCTTCTGAGTCCTCTGCTTCAGGCTACTGCCAACGAGGGAGCCTCACCCAAATGGGCTGGATCCTCTTACAGACACTGCCTTTGCGCAAACAGTCTTGAAAGTTCTCCTTTTTGTTTTTAAGGGTGCGATTTTTTTGGTCCTCTGTTGTCATTTTTTCAGCAACCTATAGCCAGACACTTCTTTTTTTCTTTTTAAACACTGGCACGTGAGCTAACAACTGTTGCCAATCCTCTTTTTATTTTCTTCTGCTTTTTTCTCCCCAAATCCCCTAGCACATAGTTGTGAATTTTTTTTAGTTGTAGGTCCTTCTAGTTGTGGTACGTGGGATGCTGTCTCAATGTGGCCTGACAAGCGGTGCCATGTCTGTACCCAAGATCCGAACCAACGAAACCCTGGGCCGTGGGAAGTGGAGCCTGCAAACCTAACCACTAGGCCATGGGGCTGGGCCCTGAAAGTTCTTGAGATCAGGAAGTCAGTGTGATTCTTCAGACTTGCTCCAGAAGCCTTGGACCTCTCTCGAGGGCAAATCCATGCTCAGGGAACAAGATCTGCCTTGACTTTGTCGAAGACCCGAGGGCAGTTTGGCAACGCAGGGTTGGGTTCGAATGTGGTGGAGTGTCACTGTGACAGGGTCCCCAGTGCCTGCAATTAATTTTTCCCTTCTTTTGTTTCTAGCCCTTGCCTTTTATCTTAGTTGTGACTTGTCTGTCTACTGCACTAAAATCATTCCTTTCAGAAGCAATTTAAGAAGGATCCAGCGCTATGGAAATGTGAAGGATTGTCTTAGGGGAGGAAGTATCTAGTGCTGGGTTTTAATTAACATTTTGGTTTTCAAAAATCTGTAACTTACTGAGTTTTAGGGCTTAGTTTTACAATATTTTAAAAGTGAGATATTCTCTCCCTGACTCCCATGCAAATGGAAAATTACACTAAAGATAAATTTCCAAGAATTCAGAGAAAGTCAAAGTCCCACTCCCACTTCCTAGAGACCTTAGGTGAGGTATCTTCTAGGTCCCCCTATTTCAAACCCATATTATGTAAGTGCGATGAGTGGCATTAAAATCCTGCTTGTTCTTAACCTTTGACAAGAGCTTCACAGTGTGTTGGACACATTTTTTCATAGCAACGCATTAAAATCTAGCTTATGCCTTTTATTAGCGGCAAAGCATTTTATCACATGACCTTTCTTTGGGAACCATGGATGGAAATGACCTACATCTTCACTGTGGGAGTGGTGACGTGGGTGTGTGCAATTGCCAAAATTCAGCCAGCTGTGCATTTCCAATAGATGCACTGTATTACATGTAAAGTACGCCCCAATGAAGCTCGTTTTAAAAATATTAACCTCTTTGAACTTTGTACTTTGGTTATGTAAAAACAACAAAACACTTTGTTCTTGTTGCTAAAAGACTCACACTGACACATCTGGAGGGAAAACTTTCTTCTCTGCAACTTTCTCTCAAATGGTCTGGCAGTAACAACAGCAGCCATCTGTTCATGCATTCAGAGATGGATCAAACAGCTGAAGTGAAGTGTTAAATGACAAACTACACAGAGGGGGAAAATAAAGGTTAGAAATAATAGTATTAAATCTTTTGAAATTTATTCTCCCCTTTAGTTTTCTTCCATGCTTTTTCTTCTTCTCTCTTCCTTTCTTCAACACTTTCCTCCCTTCCCCCTCTTTTTCCCCACTCTGTCCTTTACATTTTATTCCCTGCATATGTCAGCCCCGTGGTCAACCCGCATCACTGCCTCCATCTGCAGAGGTCAGGTACGAAGACCTGAGTGGGCTTTTGCTTGAGGATTTTGTAAGCTGTAAAGTGCTACCGGGGCCGGCTGGAGCTGGATTCAAACAGGAAGGTCTCATGGTGGAGACTTTCCTTCCGGGGGGAAGCCAGGCCGTAGGAAGGGTTTTCTACTGTGAGAATCGAAGGTCCAGGCACTGTGGAGGGGGAGGCTGCCTCAGAATCACCTCTGATGCTGTTTAAAATAAGCCAGATTCCAGATCCCCGTTGTGACTTCGAATTTCTGGGGACCCCGGCAGGGCTGCATTTTCACAATGGGCAGGAGTAACCTCCCAGGAGTTTGGGAGCCAGAAACCGAAGTGCAGCTGGCTCCCCTCCCACTCTGCCCATAAGCGCCTTTATTCTGCTTTTAGAACAATGAGCAACTTTTCTTTCCTTCAAGCCAGGGTTGGGGGAGGGCGGGTGTCAATCAGCCCTGTAATCTCTGGCCCAGCCCACTTGAAAATGAGCCCAGGGGCCGCCTAGGGAAACGCAGCCTTTATGCAAGCATCCGCCCTGGGTTTTTCAGTTTCTCTTCCTGATGCAGCAGTGGCGCCGAAAACCTGCGAAGAGGAAGACTCAGCCTTGCTTGTGAGTCTGGGGTCCAAAGGCGAGAGTGGATGAGAAAACGTAGTTGATGGGACAGAAAAGCAGGGGGCTGGAAGCAAGGCGGGGTGGAGGGGAAACGATTTGTTCCGAAGACGACCACCAGAGAAATGGGGGTGCTGCCAGACAGCAGGTTGTGGCAGCTGCGGGTTTTGTGGGTGGAGTGGAGGCATTGTGTGTTCACACACACAATGGGGCCTTATGGTTCTACCTGGGGACAGGCACAGTGTTCAGGAAGCCTTTGCAGTTTTCTAGGCTGAGGTACGTGAAAGCCTGGACTAAGGTAGTGGCTGTGGGATTGAAAAGGGTTTGGAGGAGCTGACTTTGAGTCCATGAGGCAGGGGAAAGGGGGATCAGAAGGGACCAAGGAAGCTAAGGGAACTAGGAGATGGGGAGAGGTTGGTGTGGTGGGTAGTGTAGTTTGCTTGTAGACCTCTTGGATTTGAGGGGCAGATGTTCGCAGAGGTGCAGATGTCCTGAGGCAGGTTGGAAAGGGGAATCTGGAGAGAGGTGAGTGTTGGATTGCATAGTGGGGAGCCACCTCATTAGGCTTGTGACCCCCAGGGACTGAATAGAGAGGTCCCCTGGGAGCGCTCAGACACTTGCAAGATGTGGCCCCATGAAAGAGGACCTGACTGGATCTGGAGTCACTGGGAGGAAGAGGAGGAGATTCTAATGGCTGGAATCTAAGTGAGTTTCGACTCTGAGTGATTCAACTGGGGAAGTTACTTCTGGGAGGCAGAGGTGGCTGAAGGCAGGAAGAAGACACAGAAAGGGAGGCCCGTGGCATGTCTGTACAGGAGCTCAGTGAGACCAGCACTGGTCTGTGGCAGGAAGTCCGCTTTGGTGGGAGGGCTGCAGTGATTGGGTGCCTCTGAGGCTGGGGCCCTAACACTCAGCTGCCCAGAGCCTGTCCCTGCTATTTGGCTGTGCTCACTTGGCCTTTAACCTACACAGGGGTCCTCAATCTCAGGCGTTTCATAGCCCTTGACTTGGCAATGTTGTCCATTCCTGCCGGTGGCTGTTTTGGCTTTGTCTGGGCTCCCTGGGAGAGGAAGTGACATTTCTTGGCATGTAGCCCTCACTCCTTGCTCATGATTGGACCGTGTGATATGACAATGTTTTCTGGGAGGGAACATGCAGAGCTGGGGCGGGCAGAGTTAAAAAGTTTTTCCGGCACTTTCCTGCCTCAGCTGAGCTTGAGGCTTGTGGACCGGCCGGAGGTTGACAAATTCCCAGCCATGTGGCTGTGCTCTGTCCTGCCCTTCCTGGCCAGCATTGCCCTTTTTGCTCCCGTGGATGTCGCCACTGGTGAGTGGGGTTGTTTCCAGTCTGCATCGAGGGTGGAGCCACCGGGCCTTTGGGGTGGGGAGAGTAGCTGGAGGAGGCTGGTTTCCACCGCCTCAACCCTGGTTTTCCACTCTTTGCTGGACCTTGCATTCTCCCCCGACCTCCCACCCCACCCCGCCATTTTCTGGCCTCACCTTAATCTCTTTGCTCTACTTGGGGTTGTAGGGGAGAAAAAATAATTTTCCTTCTACCCTTCTGAGTTCTTAGCTGAGACCACTGTAAAGACAGATTAAGAAGAGAAAAACAAACCGAAGTTTCTTAACAGGTGTACCTCCTGTATCCAGGAGAGCCCCCCCCCCCCCCCCCCCCCAGGAAGATCCCTTAATCTGAAGAGTGCCTCAGAATTCAGGATCACATCCATCTTAATAGGGAAGGGGAGGTGGTCTGTAAGGAGAGTAGATGATATAGGAAAGATGAATGGGCCCTTAGAAGAATAGATGGGGGATTTGGTAGTTTGTGACAAAGTTAGGGCATGGTGTCTCCTCTCCTGTCATAAGAATCAGTCATCTTTGGTTAATGAAACTCGCCTGAGATCTGTGCCACTTGAGTTCCTTTTGGAAGACTTGTCTTTAGATAGATAAGGGGAGTTCAGACAAAGCTTCTCCCTGCATTTGCTTTTTTTTTTTGGAAAAAAAATTGTTTCATTGAGGTTGTATTGGTTTATAACATTGTGTAATTTCAGGTGTATGCTATTATATATCAATTTCTGTATAGACTGCATCGTGCTCAGCACCAATAGTCTAGTTTTTGTCTGTCACCATACATATGTGCCCCTTTACCCCTTTGCCCAACCCCCCACCCTCTTCCCCTCTGGTAACCACTAATCTGTTCTCCTTATCTATGTGTTTATCTTCTGTATATGGGTGAAATCATATGGTGTTTGTCTTTCCCTGTCTGACTTATTTTGCTTAATTTAATACCCTCGAGGTCCATCTATATTGTTGCAAATGGGATTTTTTTTTTATGGCTGAGTAGCATTCCATTGTGTATATATATCACATTTCCTTTATCCATTCATCAGTTGATGGGCACTTGGGTTGCATCCATGTCTTGGCTATTTTGAATAATGCAGCAATGAACATAGGAGTGCATAAATCTCTTCATATTGTTGATTTCATATTCTTTGGGATAACTGGATGTCCATTGGGATCTTATGGTATCCCACTATGGTACCCCAATAGTGGGATAGCTGGATCCTATGATATTTCTATTTTGTATTTTTTGGGAAATCTCTGTTTTCCATAGTGGCTGCACCGGTTTGCATTCCCACCAGCAGTGAATGAGGGTTCCCTTTCCTCCACATCCTCTCCAACATTTGTTATTTTTTGTCTTGTTCATTATAGCCATTCGGACAGGTGTAAGGTGATATCTGATTCTAATTTTGATTTGCATTTCCCTACTTAGCGATGTTGAACGTCTTTTCATGTGCCTGTTGGCCATCTGTATATCTTCTTTGGTGAAATGTCTGTTCCTATGCTCTGTCCATTTTTTGATCAGATTGTTTCTTCGATGTTGACTTGTATGAGTTCTTTATATATTTTGGAATTCACTCCTTGTTGGCTATTTGATTTGCAAATATTTTCTTTCAGTTGGTGGGTTGTCTTTTCATTATGTTCATGATTTCCTTTACCTAGCATAAGCTTTTTAGTGTGAAGTAGTGTCATTTGTTTATTTTTTGTTTTGTTTCTCTTGCCTGAGTAGGCATGATATTCAAAAAGATGCTGCTAGGACTGATGTCAAAGAGTGTACTGCCTCTATTTTCTTCTAGGAGTTTTGTGGTTTCAGGTCTTACATTCAAGTCTTGAATCCATTTTGAGTTAATTTTTGTGTTTGGTGCAAGATAATGGTCTACTTTGATTCTTTTGCATGTGGCTTTCCGGTTTCCCCATCACCGTTTGTTAGAGACTTTCCTTTCTCTGTTGTATGTTCTTGGCTCCTTTGAAAATTAGCTGTCCATAGCTGTGTGGTTTATTTCTGGGCTTTCAGTTCTGATCCATTGATTGTGTGTCTGTTTTTGTGCCAGTACCATACTGCTTTGACTGCTATAGCTTTGTAGCGTATTTTGAAGTCAGGGACTGTGCTGCCTCCAGATTTGTTCTTTTTTCTCAGGATGGCTTTGGCTATTTGGGGTCTTTTGTTGTTTCATATACATTTTAGGATTCTTTGTTCTATTTCCATGAAGAATGTCATTGGGATTCTAATTGAGATTGCTCTGAATCTATAGATTGCTTTAGGTAATATGGACACTTTAAGTATGTCTAATCTTCCAGTCCATGAGCATGGAATATCTTTCCATTTCTTTTTGTCTTTTTGATTTCTTTCAATCATGTCTTATAGTTTTCTGTGTATAGTTCTTTCATCTCCTTGTTTAAATTTATTCCTGGATATTTTCTTCTTTTTGTTGTGATTGTAAATAGTATTGTATTCTTGACTTCTCTGCTAGTTCATTCTCTGTGTACAGAAATGCAACTGATTTTTGTAGGTTGATTTTCTCCTCTGCAACTTTGCTGTAGTTGTTGATTATTTATATCAATTTTGTGTTGGATTCTTGAGAGTTTTTTATATATAGAATCATGGCATCCACAAACAGTGAGAGTTTTACTTCTTTCTTTCCAGCTTGGATCCCTTTAGTTCTTTTTCTTTCCTAATTGCTCTGGCCAAAACCTCCAGTACTATGTTGAATAGGAGTGGCGAGAGAGGGCATCCTTGTCTTGTTCCTGTTCTCCAAGGGTTGGCTTTCGATTTTTCACTGTTTTGTATGATGTTGGCCTTTATTATGTTGAGGTACTTTCTTTCTATACTCATTTTATTGAGTGTTTTTTATCGTAAATGGATGTTGGATCTTGTCAAATGTTTTCTCTGTACTTGTTGAGATGATCATGTGATTTTTATTCCTCATTTTGTTGAGGTGGTATATCACATTAATTGATTGGTGGATGTTGAACCATCCTGCATCCCTGGTCTAAATCCCAGTTGATCACAGTGTGTGATCCTCTTAATGTATTGCTGTATTCAGTTTGCCAGTATTTTGTTGAGGATTTTTGCATGTATGTTCATCAGTGATATTGGCCTGTAATTTTGTTTCCTTGTGTTGCCCTTGTCTGGTTTTGGTATGTGGCTAATATTGGCCTCATAAAATGAGTTAGGAAGTGTTTGTCTTCTTCAATTTTTCCAAATAGTTTGAGAAGAATTGGTATTAACTCTGTTTGTATGTTTGGTACAATTCTCCCGAGAAGGCAGCTGGTCCTGGACTTTTGTTTCTTAGGAGGTTTTTGATAGTTGTTTCTCTCTTTACTTGTGATTGGTCTATTCAGATTATCTATTTCTTCTTGGTTTAATTTCTGGAGATTGTATGAATTTTAAGAATTTATCCATGTATTCTCTATCCAATTTGTTGGCTTATAGTTTCTCATAGCATTCTCTTATAGTCCTTTGTATTTCTGTGATAACTATTGTAATTTCTCCTCTCTCAGTTTTAGTTTTATTTATTTGAGGCTTCTCTCTTTTTTTCTTAGTGAGTCTGGCTAAGGGCTTGTCACTTTTGTTTATCTTCTCAAAGAACCAGCTCTTAGTTACATTGATGCTTTGTACTGTTTTTGAGTCTCTATTTCATTTATTTCTGCTCTGATTTTTATTATTTCCCTCCTTCTGCTGACATTGGGGTTTGTTCTTCTTCTTCTAGTTCTGTTAGGTGTAGCTTAACATTATGTATTTGAGATTTTTCTTGTTTGTTGAGGAAGGCCTAGTACCGCTTTTGCAGCATCCCGTAATGTTGGTATGTTATGTTTTAATTTTCATTTGTTTCCAGATATTTCTTATTTCTCCTTGATTTCTTCAATGATCCAATGGTTGTTCAGTAGCATGTTGTTTAACCTCCACATATTTGTGCCCGTCCCATCTTTTTCCTTGTAGTTTATTACTACTTTTTTAGCATTGTAGTTGGCAAAGATGCTTGATATGATTTCAGTCTTTTCAAATTTGTTGGGGCTTGCCTTGTTTCCCGACATGTGGTCTCTCTTTCAGAATGTCCCATGTGCACTTGAGAAGAATGTATATTCTGCTGTCTTTGGATGGAATGTTTTATATATTTATATATATATATATAGTCCATCTGCTCTAGCATTTCATTTAAGGCCACTGTTTCCATGTTGACTTTCTGCCTAGGTGATCTATCCATTGATATAAGTGGGTTGTTGGGGTCCCCTACCGTTATTGTGTTGCTGTCAGTTTCTCCCTTTAGGTCTGTTAGTAGTTGCTTTCCATACTACGGTGTTCCTGAGTTAGGTGCATATATATTCATAAGTGCTATGTCCTCTTGGTGTAATGTCCCTTCGTCATTATATATTGCCCCTCTTTAGCTCTCATTGTCTTTTCTATCTTGAAATCTGCTTTGTCTGTTAGAAGTATGGCAACACCTCTTTTCCTTTGCTTGCCATTTCCTTGGAGTATCGTCTTTCATCCCTTCACTCTGATCCTATGTTTTTCTTTAGAGCTGAGGTGTGTTTCCTGAAGGCAGCATATTACTGGGTCTTGTTTTTTAATCCCTCCAGCCACCCTGTGTGTCTTGATTGGGGAATTCCATCCATTTACATTTAGAGTGATTATTGATAAATGAGGGCTTAATACTGCCATTTTATCTCTTTTTATCTGGTGGTTCTATATTTCCACTGTTTTTCTTCTCTTGTATTTCTGACTGCCATTTCAGTGTGATGGTTTTCTCAGTTTTCTCTTTATTTATGATTTGTGGCTCTGCTCTTTTTGTTGAGTGCTTACCATGAGGGTGGTATAAAACATCTCATAGATGAGATAGTCCATTTTCTTTTTTTCTCTTTTTTTGTGAGGAAGATTGACCCTGAGCTAAGATCTGTTGCCAATCTTTGTCTTTTTGCTTGAGAAAGATTGTCGCTGAGCTAACATCTGTGCCACTCTTCCTCTATTTTATGTCAGATGCCAAAACAGCATGGCTTGATGAGTGGGGCTAGGTCCACACCCTGGATCCGAACCCACAAACCTCTGGCTGCTGAAGAAGAGTGCACAAACTTAACCACTACAGCACCAGGCCGGCCAAGATATTCCATTTTCTGCTAGCCTCTTATCTCCATTAGCCTAAGCAGGTTTGACCCTTTTCCTCTTCCCCTTCTGAGTTACTGTTGTCACAAATTCTGTTTTGTGTTGTGAGTGCGTGATTAAATTGAAGTGTTTATATTTATTTTTGATGCTTTCCTTCCCTTTATCTTTTATGTCATAATTAAGTGTTTGCTAACTTCTTCTGATAGCTTCAATTTTCTGATTTTGTCTATTTATCTGCTTGCTCAAAGCTTTGTAAACCTTTGCCTTTTTGTTTCAGCTAGGAGGGCTTCCTTCATCATTTCTTGTAAGGCAGGTCTGGTGGCGATGATCTCCCTCGACCTTTGTTTATATGAGAAAGCTTTTATTTCTCCATCATATCTGAAGAATAGTTTCACTAGATAGAGTAATCTTGGCTGTAAGATTTGTCTTTCAGTGTTTTGAATATATCATTCCCTTCTCTCCTGTGCTGTAAAGTTTCTGGTGAGAAATCCCCTGAAAGCCTGATAAGTGTTCCTTTGTAGGTTAGTTTCGTCTGCCTTGCAGCTTTTAATATTTTTTCTGTGTCATCAACTTTTGCCAGTTTTCCTTTGATATGCCTTGGAGAAAGTCTTTTTACATTGATGTAATTAGGAGTTCTATTGGCTTCATGTACTTGTAAGTCCAGTTTCTTCCCTCAGTTTGGGGAGTTCTCAGCTCTTATTTCTTTGAACAAGCTCTCTGCTCCTTTCTCCCTCTAGAGTACCTATAATCCTTATATTGCTTTTGCCAATTGAGTCAGATATTCCCGAAGAATTTCTTTATCTTTTAAAAATCTTAGTTCTCTCTCCTCCACCTGAAGCATTTCTGTATTTCTAGTCTCTAGTTCACTAATTCTGTCCTCTGTAACCTCTGCTCTACTTTTGATGGTTTCTAGACTATTTTTTATCTCATTGTGCTCTTCATGCCAGATTTCTGTTTTGATTCTTTTATTACTTCAATATTTTTGGTGAAGTATTCCTTCTGTTCTGTAATTTTATTGATGAGTTTATTGCACTGTCTTTCTGAGTTTTCTTGTAACTCATTGAGTTTCTTTGTGACAACTATTTTGAATTGTTTGTCATTTAAGATTGTAAACGTCTATGATTTCAGGCTTGGTTTCTGGAGACTCATCATCTTCCTTTTCCTCTGAAATATTCCTGTGGTTCTTCTTGGTGTTTGATGATTGATCCTTTGCTGGTGCATTTGTGGTAGTGTTACATCACAGGTTCCAACTGCCACCTCTGGGTAGGGGGGCAGGAGCTGTATTTTCTGATCCTGCTGTATCTGTTGTAGTTGTGGTGGTAGAGACACTCTGTGTTTGCAAGGGCTGCCGCAACCACTTGGCAGGTTGCACTCAGGTGGGCCAGGTCGCTGTGCTTGATGGGGCCAGCTGAGTTGGAGCGCTCGATGGGAGGTGCACCTATGTAGTGGCTGAGATGCACACCTCACTGGGGAGCCTTGCCACAGGTGAGGCCACGACAGCACTGTGGATGCTGCTGCGGGCCAGGCTACCACTCAGAAAGCGTTTGTACGTGGCCAGGTCTTCCCCCGCCTCCATTTACACTCCTGCCTGGCCACTGTGTGAGATTCTGAGACTGGGATCACTGCTGCTGGGGAGGTGGAGAGGTGCCCTCACCTAGTTCCACTGCGTTCTGGGCATCTAGTCCACCCACCTTCATATGGATGGCAGCGTGGGTTTCTCAGGTGTCCTTTTGTGCTGTGTAGGGAATCCTCTGTTGGTTCATGAATATCTGTTTAGTTATAACTTAGAGGGAAGAGACCAAGGGAACAACTCACTCTGCCATGATGCTGAAGTTACTCCCCACATGCCTTTTTTCAAGTGCATACCCCTCAAAATGATCACGACACCAGAGACATTGTTTGGGGTGACATATCCCATTACCCTTAAGTGTGCCGTCCAATTTTGTTCTTCCTGTCAGAAGATCTCAGTTCTTCTGACGCCCCTGGGACTGCAACTCCTTGGGTCAGTGCTTTGAATGGCACTCAGGGGGCCATGGAGGTCTGAGGCTCAGACCACACTTCCCACCAGTTTTTGCACTGCCCTTTCAGGGCCCTGAGCATTGTCTTCTCTGCTGCTGTCCGAATTCCTGCTTTGGACAGCAAGGAGAATCCAGGCAGGCAACTCTCAAGGGTCTCAGTCCTAAGAGTTAGGGGCCTTTTTCTAGTGACCAGGAGTTCTACGTGGTGCCCAGGCTCTAACCACAGTTGATACTGCTGTGGTCACTGTGGCTGCTCCTGACTCTCATATTGAGGGAGGGTAGAGTCTGAAGGCTTCTGGCTAAGGGAGTCCATCTGTGACTTCTCTAGCCTCTGCTCTCCTCCTCCCCTCTAACTCCCTCTTCCCATTGTTAACTCTAATTTTCTGATATGCCCGCTTCCCACACCAGATTCTCTCCTGGCCTCCTGCCCTGCCATATCATGTGCCTACTCAGTCCTTTAACCTCTCCCCACTGTCATCCCCTGCTCTCCGCAGTTCTCTGACCCCTCTCTACTGTGTCCTTCCAGTCCCCACCTCCCCCCCACTCCAAGTCCTTCCTCCACACCTCATGGGTCATTGTCTACAAGGCACCTTCACGTGCATGGCTCTTCCCAACTATCCGGGACCCTAACTTTCTGGGGTGCCTTTTGTCCAGAGAGTCTTCCCTCTATCCCCATTCTCCTAATGCCTTCACCACGGGGAGCCCTGAGGTATAGTGCACAGCCCCTCATGCACAGACCTGTGCCTGTCTTGGTGCTTCATCCTCCTAACTCCCCTCCAGTGCAGGCTCCTGCGCTTGGCCCTGCTTCATCCTGGGCCTTTCACCCAGCACCACCCAACCCCACTCCTGCATCCCAGACCTCACACTCATAAGGCCTCCAGTCTCCAGCCCACAGGTGTGGACTCCTCTCCCTGGTCCTTCATCACTCCTCCTCACGTGGTATCTTGCCTTGCCCCCACACCTTGCTCACCTTCCTGGGGGTCCTCACTAAGTTCTCCTCTCTCACAGACCCTTCACCCACACCCAGAGCACGCCTCCTGTCCTGTCAGCACAGTAACCCAAGTTGTCCCAGGATCACCTATCACCCTCAAGTACCAGGCCCTCACCATTATCTCTCCTGCCCTGTCTTGCCTTCCCCTCCCCCAATGACAAGACACTGCTGTTATTCTCATGAAGGCCCAGCTCCTGGCCCTTCCTTCTGCCCCCTTTGTTTCCTTGACCCCAGTGGGCTTTCGTGCCTACACCCTTTATCTGAAATCCATGTTGGTGGCATTTGGTCGGCTGTGTCCTTTCCCTACAGTGGGCCTTCATTCAGCACCGCCCCTCCTGTGCTGGAAGTCTGACCCAATCCTCTTTGGAAGTACATCCTGCCCCACTACCCGACCTGCTCCAACCATGTAGTTCCTTCCCCAGGCTGAGCTCCTTGGCATTTCAGATCTATTTTCTCTTCTATCCCCCCTCCTTTCTAAGTCTCAACTACCCTTGGACACACTGCGCTGACTCTTTGAGACCCTGCCACCCGCCTTTCCCAGGGGATGGGAAAGGTCCATCCCCTGGCAGGTCCATCCAACTTGCCACCTGGGGCCTCGCCGTGCCTCTTCAACTCTGGACCGAGGTCCACACTTTCACAACCCCATTAGGTAATGGCCTAACCTAAACTCTCTTGTGTCACAATCTACCCCTTTGCCTGAGGCCTGAAGCCTCACACTCCCTGGGCCCCAAGTTGTCCACCCATGGTGAGCCCTCAACCCCCACTCCCTATCTCACCATATCCCATCTTCGCACCACAGTCAACCTGACCATGGATCCCTCCCATCCCAGGCCCCTCACGTCCCCTCACTCTGCTCTAATGAGACCTCCACTACACTATGGCCTTCTTGCCTCTCCGTTGCCCTCTGCAGGCCAGCCTGTCTGCTACCTGGCTCCTTAGGCAGCCCCTGCCTCCCTCTCCTGGCACCTGTCCTACCTGTTTGCCCATCTCCATCCCCCACCTTCTGCAATTCCCTCTCCTCCTTTCCCCTTTCCTGCTTTCCTGCATTGGAAAGCTCATCCTTGTGCCTTTGCACATGTGCGTTTTCTGCATCCTCCAGACCCTGAGAGACTCAGGACAGCACAACTTTTCTATTAAATATCTTATGTGCAGTTATTTCCATAAATTCCACAAATTTCCACAAATTGACAGTTTCATCTTGTCTCCTCCTTGCCCAGGATCCCCCAGTCTTCTTTATAACCTCACAGTGGTGTCTCACCATGGATCTGTGCAACCAAGATTTTTTGGTGATGGATACTTGGATGGTCAGCCCTTCCTGCACTACGACAGTGAGAAAGGCAGGGCAGAGCCCCGTGGGCTGTGGGCAGGCACTGTCCTTGGAGCAGAAACCTGGAACACAGAGACAAAAGACTTAACAGAGAAGGGGAAGGACCTCAAAATGACTCTGGCAGACATCCTGGCCCTGCAGGACCAGAAAGGAGGTGAGTGTGGGGAGGAGACACAGGTGATATGATGTCTTTTCCAGGAAAGTTTGGGGCAGACAGCAAGGCCCTGTGTCTTTCCACTGGATTGTCGGCAAGTGGGGGTGGGGAATGGGGGCTGTGGAGTTCCACAGGGAGGTGGCCATTACTCAGCCAGCACAGGAAGACATGGAGGACAGAAGAGAGGGGGCCCCTGGCTGGAGTTTCTCACTTGGGCAGGGAAGGCAGAGGGACACAGAGAATGGAGAAGTCACTGCTCGGTGGGGGCAGACTTTCACTCCCTCCAGGAGATTTGGGGCTGCGAGATCCAAGAAGACAACAGCGCCAGGGGCTTGTGGCATTTCTGCTATGATGGGGAGCTCTTCCTCTCCTATAACCCGAAGACCAATGAGTGGACGGTGGCCAAGTCCTCGGCTCAGACCCAGGCTGTGGAGATCAAGAGGTCCTATGAAGCAGATGGCTTTCAAAGCCAGGATTACCGTGCCCGTGTGCAGGGAGAGCTCTGTGGAAGACTGCGGATATATTCGAAATCCTGGATGGGCTTCATACACCGCACAGGTATGACCGTGGAGCAGGACCAACTTGTCCTTCAGGCCTCTGGAGCCTCCCCACCAACTCTGCCTGAGGAAACTGCCCTGCACTATGGATGCATGTATGTTGTGATGGGGTGTTGTGTTGTGATTTGCCTGTTGTGTTAAAGCCACTGCATAAAGAAACCACACAGGTGGGCAGGGCAATGGACCGTTCCAGTGTCCATAATCCAGGGAAGCGGTGTTCCCCAGACAGAACACTGAAACCAGAAGGTGGGTGTCAGGCAGGAGAGGAAGCCTCCTTCTGGGGTGCGAGTCCCCCTGACTCCCAGCCTGCCTGTCACAGAGAAACCACCCCTCTCATCTCCTTCCACAGCCTCACCACGTGGATCCAACAGAGTGAACGTCAATCCCACCCATCCTCCTGCCAGTCTAGAGGAATTTGGCCTTAGGGTGCAGGACAGGCTTGGGAAGGTCCGAGGTCAGTGAGGGCTTCAGCCAGAGCTGGGACGGTGTGGGGAGCCCTGTGGTCTCCATCTCCCTCAGAGGGGAGTGGGGCTGGGACACCAGCCTCACTAGCTTCGTGCTTTCTTCCCCAGTGCCCCCAGCAGTGAACGTGACGCGCACCCAGGCCTCCGGTGGCATGGTCAACCTGACGTGCTGGGCTTTCGGCTTCTCCCCTCGGAACATCTCAGTGACCTGGCTTCAGGATGAGGAACCCCTGAGCCAGGATGCCCAGCAGTCTGGGGCTGTCCTGCCTGATGGGAATGGCACCTACCAGACCTGGGTGGCCATAAGTATTCCCCAAGGAGAAGAGCAGAGGTTCATGTGTCATGTGGAACACAGCGGGACCCACACTGCACACCCTGTGCTCTCTGGTGAGCCTGGGGTGCTCCTGGAGGGGGTCCTGACCCTGGTGGAGTCAGGGGCCTGGGTGGGAGAGAAGAGAGAAGGGCTGTGGCTCTTATGTGCGCAGGTTGTCATAAGGCTCTTTTTTCAGGAAAGGCCGTGGTGCAGCAGAGTGGATGGGCAATCATTCTGGCTGTTGTTGTTGGTATTATTATTGCTGTGACTGTGTGTGTCGTATGTTACATAAGAAGAAGAAGACAAAACCAGCTGCAGAGAGCCCAGGTGAGAAAACTGGGCAGTGAGCGGACATGGCTGGGCTCTGCCTGGGATGTAGGGCCCTCTTATCTCCCTATGCACGATAGAAGTGAGGATGACAAGCCTCTGTAAGGAGAGCTGAGGGTTAGAGTACTTGTGAGGGGAAGGGGGGCCACATCAGCATCTACACCCCTTAGTCCTGCCCACAGCCAAGGCCAGGCTGGGCCCCTTGAGTGTGCAGCTGTGGCCACTCCTTGCTCTGGGTAAGGACTGGGCAGCAGGGAGGACCGTGGCTCTGTCAGAGGGAGGACCCTCTGTCTCTGTAACTCAGGCTCACCAGCTCATCCAGGGGGAATGTATTGGGATCATGTGCCTGTTGGGAAAGGCCTGAGTGACCATGGAATCAGAAGGAACAAGCAGTAAAATCATCTGTGACCTAGTGGGAGTGTCACACAGTGGGGAGGCATAGGAATGAGAGGGGACACCTGTAGTCCCTTCCTGCCTGTACCCGCTCCCCCCAGTTCTCCAGCCACTATGAGGAATGCAAGTAGAAGACCCACGAGGCCCAAAGTGGGGGTCACAGGTTGGTGCCCGAGCCCTGCCTAGGACGTCCCGTTGGGAGGTCCCACTTGCAACAACAGTTGGGCCCTGAGCACTGGTGGTCATCTTCTGTCCATGTTGTAGACCCTCCAATTCCTCCTCCAGGAACCGTCTCCCGAGTGTTGTTTCCTTGGGGTCCCTCCTGGCCTCTACACCTTCTTAGTTCCCAGGACACGCCCTCATGCTTCCTGGAGTTTCCTTCCAGATAATATGGAAGAGCAGAAGAGCAGATCACCCTGGACCATGTGGGGAGAGAGGACAGCCCATTCTCAGGGCAGCTGTGGTCACTGTTTATATCCCACCTGCAGGTTTTTCCTGCCCAGAGCCTTGGGGTCCAGTCCAAGGGGGCATGCAGAGTGGGCTCTGGGGCTGTGTTTGGGGCCTCACCTGGCTGTCCCTGAGCCAGTTCTCTTCTCCATGGTGGCCACTGACCTGTACTTTGGAGGAAGGGATGGTCACCATTATTTCCCCACTACCAGTTTGCTTGAGGGGCAAGGAAAGGGGAAGAGGGAGTTTTGTGTTTGGGCAAAGAAGAAAAGCAATGCCTGAAAGTGTGAAGGGCTGAGGGGTGCCAGGATGTGGGTCTTTTGTTCCCACCAGTTCTATGTGACCCTTGAGAGGGAAGTAAGTTCTCACCCTTGAACCTAATATCCTTCTCACTTGGCCCTCAGTCCTGGGCAGACTGGGAGAGTTTGTCACCTTCCCCACAGCAAGGGGCTCCGTCTGTGTTACAGCCAGAGCAGAGGCCATTGCGGGTCTGTGGTGTATCCTGCTCTGGCCCCCACAGAGGGAACAGCAGTTTAGGTTCCCTTGGGGCAGAAATGGTTGCCTCCCCCTGTCACTGGTGCATTAGTCAAGAATAGAGTGTGAAAGACGTGCTCATTTCTGAAAATACCTACTTTAAATTTTGCTGTCCAAAACTAATGTTTATGTTTTCAGCTGGCTAACCTTAATAGGATTTCCTCATATTTTCATGTGGAATGAAACAGGAATTCATGGGGATCTTCGTGTCTGGGAGGGTTCCATGTGGGAGCTGGGTGTGGTAGCAGTGGCTATCCCAGGGTGCAGAGATGGGCAGACACCGCCTCAGGCTGAGGGGCCTCAGGAACCCCTGACTCGAGTCAACCCTGATGTCCAGTGGTTAAAGTTCAGCACGTGCTGCTTCAGTGGCCCAAGTTCAGTTCCCAGGCTTGGAACCACATCACTTTCCTGTTGGTAGCCATGCTGTGGTGGCTGCTCACAGAGAAGAACCAGAAGAACTTACAACTATGCACAACTGTGTACTGGGGCTTTCTCATGGGGGAAAGAAGAAAAAAGAAGGAAGATTGTAACAGATGTTAGCTAGGGTGACTCTTCCCCTGCAAACAAAACAAAACAAAACAAAGTGAACCCCTGAGTCCACATTGAGAAGCAGATTTAGTTTGGGCAGTTAGAGCAGTGTCCAGTTGAGTCCCTGCTAGAAACAGGAGCAGGAAGGCCTGGGCAGCCTCCGCGCAGCAGCAGCACTCAGGCTGAAGCTGAGATTCCAGGGGCCAGTGGGCCAAGAAGGAGCAAAGAAGGCCAAGTGCCACCTGAGAGCCTGGGTCAGGTGTGAAGGTCACGGCCAGGCCGGACCTCTGCGAGCATTGGGTGCTCCAGGGTCAGGTCGGTACAGACTCTGCCTGCTGGTCAGCTCAGCTTCCTGATGGGCTTTCCATTTCGGAGCTGCTGGCTCAGGGCTGGGGGAGGGAAGGAGGCTGAGCTGCAGCAGGAGGTCAGTGCCTGTGGTGGAGCAGGGCCAGTGGAGCAGACTCTGGCCCTGGTGATCAGGTGCTTGTGCAGCTGAGGAGGCCTGAGAAGTAAGGAGAGAAGGAAGTGTTTGTGTGACCACTCTCGGGCCTGGAGGACCAACAAGTAGGGGCTTCTCTTTCAGGGAGGCCTCCCACTGTGTTGGGGAGACTGGGGGCTTGAGAGGAGGGGAGGGCCTTGGCTTTCCACTCCTGCATGCTGTCCCTTAGTCCTGTCGCCCTTTCTTCTTCCTGCATGGTGGGTGGTGGAAGCAGGGACAGGCGAGGATGTTGGAGTCGTGGGAGGAGATCAGCAAGGGCTCGGAAGGGTGGGATGAGAGGGAGAAAAAGTGGGGGTGTTATTTTCCCTGATAGAAAGGCAAAATCTGATTTGGGCGCAACTGAAAGAGAATTCCTGAGGGTATAGAAAACAATCTGCAACCTTTCAACACTTATTGGCTTCTCTTTCCCCAGAGCGTTAGCCTGCAACCTCAACACCAGATGGCGTCAACGGACCTGAATGGCACTGAGCAGCTGGGATTTCAGTCTCTGCTGTCAGCCCCTCAGTCCACTGATTCAACTGAGGAGGCTTAGAATCTGCAGCCAGGAGGCCTGAATTCAGCTCCCTGCTCGGGTCTTACTAGCACTTTCCCTCTTGGTGCCTCAGTTTCCTCATCTAAGAAATGGGGAAAATAACAGTATTTCCAGTTGTGGATGCAGGATCAAGTGTTACTATCCTTGAGGTCCTTATAGCTCACCAGATTACCAATATTTTTGTTATTTCATGTTAGATTACCTATATACTAATTATATTGTTGGCAGTGAGCTTTATCTGTGAGTTCCTTTGTTATTGTTCCTCCTGAGAGGTGTGTCTCGATGCCTGGACACAGCCTTAAAAAATCTCCACCTCCATCACCGCCAACTCCCAGTGAGTGACAGGTTCACAGCCAAGCATAAAGGGCTGGGAGGAGCTGGGATGGGACACCTGGGGCCAATGTTCCTGGGTGAGCTTGTGAGGGAAATTCTGCCTGAAGAGGTGACACCTGGTGATGAAGCAAAGCTGAAGTGTGATATTTGGGGAGGGGGACTGGGACAGTGCTCTGGGGTTCCCAGATTAAGAAGATTACGGGTCAGTGTGCTTCTGGGGTGAAGTGACTGCTGAAGATACGTGGACTGAGTTGATGAGAGAATAAATGAGCAGAGAATGTGGATGAATCAATCAAGCATCAGCCTCTGCCTCCATCAGTTCAGCCCGATTTGTGCAAGGCCGATGGGGAGGTGAGACACTCCCCCCGATGCTCTGTCCTTTCTGACTTCTGGTCTTGGGGCACACAGATGGTGGTGTGTCATAGAAAAAGAGAGCAGATTTGTGGTTACCAGAGGCGGGAGGTGGCGAGTAGGGAATTGGATAAAGGCGATTAAAAGACACAAACTTCCAGCTCTAAGAGAACTCAGTTCAGGGGATGTAATGTCCAAGATGATGACTACTTCCCACAGCTGTAGGGTGTGTGTGAAAGTTCCTAGGGAAGTGGATCCTGAGTCACAAGGAAAAAAACATTTCTTTTCTCTTTCCTTTTTTCATCTCTATGAGATGATGAATCTTAACTTTGTGTGGCTATCGTTTCATAATCTGTGTAGACAAGTCATTGTGCTGTATACCTTAAACTCAGAGAGTGCTGTGGGTCGATTATATCTCAATAAAACTGGAAAAAAAGAATTTTGTTCATATTTCCATTGCAGTATCTGCCATTCTCTGATTTGTTGAATTCCTAAACGCATTCAGTATTTTTAATTAAAATTAAGGTAGGTTCTTCAGCAAGTTATACTTTCAGAAAACAGAAAGGACATTATGCAAACTTATTATTCTAAATGCATTGAGGATAATTATTCTTAAAGTTGGTACACATATATACCAGTTAGAATTTTCTCAATTGTAAGGTAAATGTAATCACAGTCATAGAAACAAAGAGTATTTTTTTTCCCCTCAGATAATGGTAATTATTTATTAATTAGTGTCCAAACGGCCCTTTCAGAATCTATTTTACTCCTTTGGGCTTCAGAGTCAGAAATATTTGTGTTCAGATAATCCATTCTCCCACTTTAGGATTGGATGACTGTGCGTAAGCTGCCCTGTGTTTCTGGTGGTCAGCTGCCCATATGGGGTCCCCGGGGCCCTGAGGATAATCCCTAGAGTTACAGTAAGCCATGGAGCACAGTGCTTGTCCTATACTAGGAGCTCAGTCCTGGTGCTGGTTGATAAGGTTTTGGGGAGGTGGGGATATTTATGATTATGACTGTTCCCCAAAACATTCTTTTTTCCCCAAATTTCGAAGCATATGCCCTGTGCTGTTCTGGTCTATTTCTGATCTACTTCACATATTTCAGGTTCTTTTCCCTGATCTCTCTTTTCTGATTCTGAGGAAAAGTCATTGTATATTGTGTCAGAGAAAGGAACTATCCGGATGCTAAGATGAGGACCTGACTCCCTAGCAGAGATGTTAAAATATCCGCTCAGAGTAGTGCCACAGAAATGTAAGTACAGGAATGGAAATCTGCAGGTCCTGGCACAGCATCTGTGAAGAGCTCACTCCCTGCCTTGCCCCAAGCCCTCTTCTGATAACAGCATCCACCAAGAGTTCATCCTGCAAGTTATAAAGGCTTCTGCTCTGTGCAGCCTGCCACACTGATCGTAGTATTTTGGCCAGAGATGGATTTGAGCCAAGCCCACCATGTGCATGCCATGTTGAGGGACTGACCAGTAGACAGGAATCTCATCTGGTCAGAGTTGGGTAGCAAAATACTCAGAAACTGCTAGATACTAACTCAGAGTTGCCTCTCACAAAACAGGGTTCTACTGAGTAACCACATGGTAGACTGGGAAAATCTCTAATTTTAGAAATTCTTCAGCTAATAAATGAAGAAGGAGTGAGAGACTGGCAATTTAACTCTTTTGCAACCTCAAATGAATTAATAGATTTACCCATTATAGAGCAATGTCCATTAACATTACAGTAAAAGAAATAACTAGAATCTAAATGCCTCTTGATGGAAGAAGACAAAACCATCAATAAAGTACTCCTGCCAAATATAAATCACCAAAGCTGAATATCATCAAGCCTCCTTATCCAAACACGAATTTATGAAAATACAGATAGCAGAGATACATATTCAAGTAAACTTTGGAGATGTAATCAGAATAATGCAAACTATGAGAAACTCTACAAGATAGATCAGAAGAGGGCTGGGGGCAAGGCAGGCAGTGAGCTCTTCACAGATGCTGGGCCAGGACCAGCAGATTTCCATTCCTGTACTCAGACGTGGCTCTACTCCTAATGGATTTTTCGACCATCTGTGTTAGGGGGTAAGGTCCTCATCTGAGCATCTGGATAATTCCTTTCTCTGTCTACAAGAGAAAATGCAAACTATGAGAAACCTTGTAGGAGGATAAAAGGCATAAAGGAGGAATCTGGAGAACAAAAGGGAACAAAATCAGCTTTAAAGGTAAAATTAAACTATGATTTTGAATGAGAAAATTATAAAATAGAACAAAGAAACGATTAACATAAAAATCAAGACTTGGGGAGGGAGGAGGTTATGATGAGATGGGGCAGATTCTGTGGCTTGTGGCTTGACTGAGAATCTTGTCTCTCTGGGGGTTAAAAGGTGTTTGCCTTTTATTAGAGGCACTGTTTTGAGATACCTGTTCTTTTTTGGTATCTGTGTTTTATATTACAATTTTTAAAAGGCTAATGAAAAGTAAAATAACATAGCGAGAGGCTATAAAGAATTTCTATTTTATACAGAGCCTCCTACCCAACTCCTGTCAGAGCACAGGGCACTCCAGAATAACTGGAGGCCCAAGGACCCTGGCAGGGCCACCTCATCTCTGAGTGTGCATCTTGCTCATGTCACCTGAAGCAACCTCCAGGGTCTATTTCTTGAGGGGTGGATGGACCTGATTAGTACACAGCTGGGGAGAAGTCTCTCTCTCTGGGGCCATCAGTGTGAGAGAGCAGGTCCTCTCCTCTCCAACAGGCTAGTCCTGGCCCAGAGCTCCCTCTCAGCATGGGCAGAGAGGCTTGGCCCTTCCTCTGAACGTGGTGATGGGGATCTCCCCAGAGGTGGAGATGACACCATTCCTCCCCCGACAGAGTCCCACCTCTTGCCTTTTCTGCTTTACTGGAAAGTCTATAAAGGCCTGGGCTCCAGGTTGATCTCAGGGTCCTGCTTCATCTGGGGAAAGGAACACCACAGACCACAAGGTGGCCATGAGGCATCATCCTGCTCCAAGGAGATAGTAAAAGAGCTGAGCCCCGAGGTGGGGAGAAGGATGTTGCTGCTGATCCTGTAGGATGCAGTTAATAAACTTCCTGCGCAGCCCATCTGATTCTCCCTGGTTCCTCAACTCTAAAAAGGATCAGAGTTTGAAGCTCTGGTTGGAAAAGCTGGGACCAGACTATCTGCGCTTTGAGGCAGAGTTCATCAAGACCCTAAAGGGTCTATTAAGTGACCTGAGGTTCCAGAGTGGGTATGACAGCCTGGATGAGTCCAGTGAGTGACATCAGGCTCCTGACACAGGTCCAGACCCCCAGCCCCACGCACCAGGCACTGATGGGTCCTGGTGATGTGGGCGGAGCTTCAAACTGACCCCTCACAAGTAAGAAGGACACAGGGAGGTTTTGCTTCAAGTTTCATTTTCAGTCTAGATTGTCACTGACTTTTGCTGTGACCAATCATGGGGAGGAGCCTGAGGTGGGAGGGCATGCGAGCTGGGCAGGTCAGGAGGACCAGGGTCCCCTGCTCAGGTTCCACACCTGAGTGATGATGCCAGACGGGAGCTTCCTCAGAGGTCATGTTCAATCTGCCTATGATGGTGAGAACTTCATCTCCTCAAAGGAGAATTTGCAGACCTGGACAGTGGCGCACACCAGGCTCTGAGGATCAAGTGCACCTGGGAGAGCTTCAGAATGGTGGAGGCCACAAGGGAATACCTGATGGGTCACTGTGCCGAGTGGCTTCTTAGACCCCTGGAGCACAGCAACCACACATTGCTGCAGGCAGGTACCAGGGGCCACAGAACACACACAGGACCTCCCTGAGGTTGGGATTAAGTTCCTGGAGGCATTCCTAAAGGAGGAAAGAAGGGACCCCAGCACCCTCCTGCCTCCTCAGCATTTCCTCTGAGGGGTTGGGGATTCTGCCCAGGCTACTGAGGCCAGAGGGGACAGAGGGAAAGAGTGTAGCCAGGTCCATAGAAAAGGACAGCAGTTACCTTTGTCCATGGTGATGTATTTCGAGTCCCCCTTCACAGAGAGATCTTCCCCTTCCCTGGTCCTCTGTGCCCAACTGCATCCCCTTGAGACGATGACCTCACCATTGCCAGCCGAGGTCCAGGTGAGAGCCACAGCCCAGGACCGTGAGATCAGGAATCCTAGACGTTAGATCCACCTCTGCTCTGAGGGCATTTACAGAACCTGAGGAGATGAGCAAGCTTTCAGCTGCCCTGTGGGGCTGAGTGAGAAAAGAAGTGAAAGCCAAGGGTCACAATGGTGGGGACGTGGGTGAACCCCCACCCCCCACATTAAGCAGAGTCTCTGCAATGCTGCTTCCTAGTGGGAGCTGTGAACCTGCAGGAACTTATACTCATGCTTCACCTCTTGGTGATCTGGGGTGCTTGATGCCTTGAATTGGGATTGAAACATTCCTGGGTTGGAAATCTACCAGGTGTAACACAGAGAAATGTACAGAAACCCCTGCAGGAAAAAAAAAAATCATCTAGGGCTAAAAATAATTCTAATTTTTTTCTAAAACAGTCTAGCACACAATTCCAAACAACCTTTAACCCCCCAGGAGATAAAATACCATGAAATAGAATCAGCAGAAAAGAGGGCAAATGGAAGTATTCCTGCAAAGACTCTAATATCAAAAAGTAGCAGATAGTGAGTATGAGGAACTTATAAAATCTGACAGCAAGTCAGGAAAGAAACAAATAGAAATTTTTCTAAACTGAGAAATAATATCACCAATTTTAGAACCAAATTAGTGGGTTAACAGAAGATGAGACATATTGGGAGACAGAGACAATTGGTGATTGGGAAGATCATTCCAGAACCTATTGCCACAACCTGAACCACCAGACAGAAAGCTAGTATCTGGGTTTCTCATTTAATTTTCTCCACCCACAAGAATCCTCTTTTCTATGGCTCAATATGCCTCAACCTTCTGTCTCTCCTCAGACCAGCCATCAACACACGCGACCTGTCACTCAGGCCTGAAGGAAAGGTCACCTTGAGGTGCTGGGCTGGGATTTCTACCCAGCAGACATCACACTGGCTTGGCTTCGGGATGGGTAGAACCAGGCCCAGGACATGCAGCATGTGGACCCCAGGCCTGCAGGGGCCAGGACCTTCCAGAAGTGAGCAGCCCTGGTGGTGCCTTCTGGGGAGGACAGAGATACACGTGCCATGTGCAGCACGAGGGGCTGCCCAGTCTCCTTAGGCTGAGATGGGTTAAGGAGGGAGTGAAGGGGTGGAAACCTCTTCACAGAACCAGCATAAGAGGAGCTATTCTGGGTACATGTGCCAAGGTCTGGGTTTGGACTTGAAGGCTCAAGGTCCCTTTCATTTCCACCTCAGAACCACCTGCCCAGTTCATGCTACCATTGTGGGGATCATTGCTGGCCTGATGCTACTTGCTGCTCTGGTCCTTGGAGCTGTGATGTGCAAGAA